CTGGAAAGTGACCTGAGATGACATGATGGGAATTGGAGCTATAGAAATACACTGAATAGAATTGAAATTTAGGTGTTTTTTTTCTGAATTTGGCTGGTTGTAAATTGATAAAATGATTAAATTAACTTTATTTTTCTTTAAGTGCATAATAACAAATGATGATATTTTTAATCTGCTCCTGCCATCAGCAGATCCTCTTCTTTCCCGAATCATGAGTTCTTTTATCTTTCGATCAGGTTTAGAGAGAATCTTCTCAGCTGATTCATGTTTTTTCCTGCAGTGTTTCATGAACAGCATCCTGCAGTGTCTGAGCAACACACAGAGCCTGCGTGACTACTGCCTGCACAACTCGCACCGCAGAGACCTTAATAACAACAGCCGCACCAACACAGCCCTCATGGAAGGTGAAGTATTTCCCCTGGAGTCTAGATCTGCTTTGCTCTGAGTTAGATCTGCATGCTGCTAGATGTGTTCTAGACTCGGAGGGAAACGTTTATCTCTAAAGATGTGAAAGGAGGAGTCATTTAAGCACCTGAAAGGTCTCATTCAGAGCTGGTTTCCCTTCAGCCATGTCATTGACCTCATCCTGTCTGTGTTGGTAGAGTTTGCAAAGCTGATCCAGACCGTGTGGACGTCGACCAGCAGCGAGGCCGTCAGCCCGTCCGAATTCAAAACGCAGATCCAGAGATACGCTCCCAGATTCGTGGGATACAAGTAAGTTTCACGGCTCTGCTTTCCTGCTGTTACGTTTGACGGCCTCTGCTCCGCTGCGGGGCAAAGCCCAGAGGAGCTCAGCCTAAGAGGAGCTCAGCCTAAGAGGAGCTCAGCCTAAGAGGAGCTCAGCCTAAGAGGAGCTCAGCTCAGACCCAAACTACTTATCCTGGGGATTATACAACAGTTTAAACTTTTCATTTTTAGGCCTCCAGATATTTTCAGGATATAAATGATGCAACAAATGAAAACGCTGAAGACAGAGAAGCTAAATTTGAGGCTTACTTTGGTCGTTTAATGTTCAATTACAGGGTTTCCGTCAGTCATTAATTTATTACTTTTTAAATTTTAGGCCTTAATTGGCATTAAATTCATTAAATGTGATTATCGGTGGCATTTAAAATGCTTTATTTATCAAAACAAATTTATCAGATATATCAGATATGTTGTGCAAAAGAATATCCTGCAGATAATGAATAAATTATATACTAGAACTGGATTATAGTTAATTATTTAACTTATTTAAAATTGGAGGTGAAATGAATTCCAACGGAACTGCTTCCATCGTAAAGCTAGATCTTAAAGCCGTATGTTCGTAAAAAAAGCGCGATGACGAGGAATTTGGGACATGGCTGCAGCTTTTGATTTTATAAATAGAGAGAGATATAGATCTATAGAGAGATATAGATCTATAGAGAGACATTGTGAACGCAGCATAAAGTCTGCAGAGCTGCTTGCTGTCTACCTGCAGGTTGCTGTTCAGCTCTAATAAAGAAAATGTTGAGGAATTTCTGCAGGTTCGAGGATCAGAAAGTGATGAAATGTTGCTGATGTGTCTCAGCCAACAGGATGCCCAGGAGTTCCTGCGCTTCCTGCTGGACGGCCTGCATAACGAGGTCAACAGGGTCACCGTGAGGCCCAGAGGCACCGTGGAGGATTTCGACCACCTGCCGTAAGTTTTCACACCGCAGCAGAGAAACGACTCTTTCTGGCTCGTTAAGGAGCAGATCAGCTTCTCATGCTATGAGCAGATGCTGATGGATCATCTTTTAGCCGCTTCCTCTCCATCACATACCAGGTGTTTGACCTGCAATCGCCCTCACTGGGCGTGTGATGTCACAGCATAGACACGCCATGCTACGCTGCTCTTAGCAGCTACTATAGGCGTACCAGCTCTGACGGCGCGCCGCCGTTCGACATCACAGAAATAAACTCCATGGGTGCGTTCGATTTTTTAAGGCTGTCTTCCAAGGACGCCGTCTTTCCTGGACTGGATCCTTCCAGGACCGTGGAAGTAAGGGCTGCTTCTCAATTCACAGGAACGCGAGTACGGACTCGTGTTCTCACCAAGTCCGTTCTAGACTAGAACCCAGGAAAGTCTGGAATCTGGGAAAACGGGAGAATGCAGCATTAACCTGGGTTAATAGGAGCAGAAGCTACTGATGACATCACCACATTCAAAGCTTGTCTGGAGCTGCATTTCACCTCCTGTTATTAATAGAATATAGATAATAATAAATTAAGACTTTTTTCATTTAGTGGAGGAATAATAATGAAAACAGTCAGATAAACACAAATAAACATTTTGCCAGCGGTGCTTCACACACAGCTATGCAGAGAGAGGGCCGCTGCAGACGAGCTAACGTTAGCCCTGACCGCTGCGGACGAGCTAACGTTAGCCCTGACAGCTGCGGACGAGCTAGCGTTAGCCCTGACCGCTGCGGACGAGCTAACGTTAGCCCTGACCGCTGCGGACG